TTTATTTCTTTAGATTATAATTTTTGTTGTCCTTAAATTTTTTAAATGTTTGCAAATAAGTCTCTAAACTTAAATTATTATGCAATCATGTTTTTTCTTGGTAAATTAATTTTGATTTTATTAGTTTTATACTCAGTTTTTACCAGCGCTTCTGATATTTTTGTCAACAAAAACTCATTTCTTTTTTTTCAAATTTTAATTTCTCGCAAAATTATTAGATTAAAATGAAAATTTTTAAAAAAATTTAGCTATTAAAACATAATAGAAGTGAAATTTATTATTAATATTTTAAATTTATTACAATTGTAATAAATTATAGTGACAAATTTTACCATTGGAAGCTTATATTTTATCTATGTTTATTTTTAAATAACAAAAAACAGTTTAGTAACGATTTATTTTTCGTCATTATTGAACACAAGTATTTGTGATCATCATTTGAAATTTGTCAACATTATGGGGAATTATAATGATGATTTTAATTATCACAAGTCAATATTATCTTTATGACAATTTTTTAGTGATAAAATATATTTTTAGTGATGATTTTTTTATGTTATTGTTGAACATTTGGTTATATGTGACCAATATTAGAATTTTGTCATAATTATAATAAATTATAGTGACATTTTTTACCGATAAAAACTTATTTTATCTTTATGAACATTTTTCGGTGACAAAATATATTTTTTATGATGAATTTTTTTCATCATCATTAAATATGTGTTCATCTGTGACTAATTTTTTAGATTTATCACAATTATGATCAATTATAGTGATGATTTCAAAATTCATCACAAATTTTTGTCATTAAAAATCACTTTTTTTGTAGTGAGAAAGCCAAATAACGATCTGGGAAAAAAAAAACATCAGAAGTTCCCAAAAAAAGCCAAAGAAAACGTATGTAAAATGAAATATGAATAAAAATACTATAGCTACAAGACTTGGAAAATAACTATAGCTGGGGATTAAGAAGCGTACCTTCGCTTTTAGCTGACTTCTTAATGCTAAAAGCTGAAAACGTGCAGGTGGAGACACATTAATTTGCTGGAAAAATTAACTACTTAGATGGAAAGGTAACCCAAGAAGAGGATGCGAAAGAGAGAGGCTCCGGATGGTGGATAGCTAGTAGGAGATGGACGAATGTTTTTTTGAGAGAGAATGTTTGGATTGGTATCAAAGAAAATGCGTGATGATTTCTGATTTCTTATTAATATACCAAAGCAAAAGATAAAAGGGCAATGGAAAAATCCAAATGTTATTGTATTTAAAATAACAGAAAATCTAATGACAACTTTTAACATGTAATTTTTTTTATTTGTTTGAATAAAAAGAATTTAATTTTTTTTAAAAAAATTAAATTTAAATCTTATAAATAAAAAATAAATTTTAAGAGAGTTTTTTTTATAAAATTTAATATGAGTCAACTTTAAATTAATCAAAATCTAACTTAACTTTTGAAAAAATAATATCCATATATAAACTCACTCTTATAAGTATTTTTATATTTTA